ACACTGAGAGGTGAGTTTGAGGTTTGCTTTCAGCTGAGGTTTTAACTAAGGGGGTCCTAGTTAAATTAGGGAGAAAAATCGTTTAGTTTACCAAATCTCATACAAAGATAAGAATCTAATTACGTCTGAGCACCTGTTTGTCACCAGGACAAATGTTCACTTTTACTCTTTTGCCCCACCGTGTGGGTACCAGGAGGGGAAGTCAGCGATTGAAGGTCATCTCTGGGGGTTGTCTCCCAGGTAGGCTCTTCATGCAAGCTGGATGTCAGGTGGTCTGCCTGATAAACTGGACTGGTCCCATGGTCAGAGAAGGGGGTCACTCCCTGGTGACAACGTGGTCCGTTCTTTAGGCGGCCGCAAGACTTCTTAATTTAATTTCAACTTTATAGAGAAAAACGGACTAAAAACGATGCATGAGTTACAATTAGCTTATTTAACTTTTATAAAATCAAACTCAGATGTTGAGTCTATATTAAACGTTGGCTGTTCGTTCAACCAGCGGGAGATGCAGAAGGACCACCATCCTGTCCAGCCCATGGGGAGGGGCTGGCAGGCAGGGCCTCTGCTGAGCTTCTGAAAGCTGTTTCTGGCTTCTGATGTTGAAAAACTCTTTCTGTCGGTCTTCTCTTTGTCGGGAGCTGCACTAACTTTTAAAACCTCTGTTTTGGGCGGAGTCAAGGTTTTAGTTGGCCAATAAAAATGTTACACCTTACACAGGAAAAGCTCTCAGCGAGTCTGTTGGAGGTAAATTTTACTTTGAAAACAAACAAGGAGGGTCTTAGTTTGATTATCTTGCATCTAATTAAAGGGAGAGACATCTGTTTGCCTCAGTAAAATAAAAGTGTCACACTTTTAATTAAAGATTCAAGTCCTAAAGTTTCTAAGGATTAAATCATGGAATAAAACACACACTGTTTAAAATCATGAAATCAAAGAAACATCTTCTTCAGGAGTCTATCTGTAAACAATTAAACACAATACACACAGCTACTGAATAGTTAACTAAGTAAAACTTAGTAGATCCTTTATGGTCTTTTTAGTTCTTTCCTGTAAGAAAAATGGATTAGATGACATTCTTTGCAATAAGACAGAAAACATTAGATAAACAGATTCCTTTACTTTTTCTCCTTTTTTTCACATTTAATGAAGTATGTAGGTCCTTTGTTCTCAGTCACGCCGAAGAGTCTGGTTAAAGGAATTTATGATCCCTTTGAAGAGGAACCAACAGTCTTGTGCTTATAAGATCACAACAGAACTTGTGGGGTTCAGAACAGGAATGTGGCATTTCTTATCTATTTACAGTAAGGCGTCAGAAATACTGATTTAAATGCAGGAAAATGCTACACATTT